GTAATCAGCGAGGAAAGATATGTAATTCATTACATAGCGTGTGAGTGGGTGGACCCCACCGCATGGAACCGTCGTTTTGGTTGTATCCTTTAGAATCGCCGTTTCGAAGTCCGTGAACATCGTTCTAACGGCGTCACCGAGCTTAATCAAGGAGTTGACGGCCGTTGATCGTACGGTTGAGGTTGATTCGAAGTTGAATATCGATTCAATCTCGGGCCAAAGATCGGAAACCGCTTCGTATAAATCCAAGAGACGGAACATTTTCTCGGGCATTTTCTTGCACTTGGCTACATTTTCCGGGAAACCAAACAAAGCCAAGGCTCCTTTCGAAATCTCTGTGAAACAGATTCCCTGACGGGAGCCGAAATGGAGAACACTTGATCGCAGAGGATTTTCTCTCCAAAAAACAGCGTTTTAACCGCCATTTTAACAGCGCTTAACCAAGCCTTGATTTTAACCTCCAGAACCTCCCATTCCATCTTCTGAATCTGCTGCAAACTAAGCCCCCGTTCAACTCCGACATGATAAAGAGCTTCGTCGACGATGGATTTCCGAACAGTTTTATAAATTTTGGTACACTCCTTGGCGTACCCAGCTGATATCATTGCTTCCGCGATGTCCCTCAAATCCACCATAGCAGCTAACGACACTCGCTTCACTTCAGGTATGGACTCGTTCTCGTCCCTCGACTCGTTTTCAAATCATCTTCTTCGAAATCCGAAAAGCTAGACCTCGAAGCAGATGGTCTCGTAGATGAGTGGGCCGAAACGGATTCCGGGTCAAGATAAGCCCGGTTGGACTTCAAATCTGGTAAAACTCTCTCTCGAGCCTTTTCATGGTAGTTTGCATCAGTATCTGAGCTCGCCCGAGTTTATCCGAACTGGGGTGGTGTAAAGCCAAGTATTGCATGGCTTTTTGCAATCCCTTAATGGAAACCAGATATTGTCTGGCTTCCTCCTTGTCGGAGAACAGAGAAGCAACATCGATTTCCCATTTGGTAATGACAGACTCGGCAAGTTCAATGTTTTCCTCCATTAATGACTCAGAGAAGGTATGGTGGAGTGGGAATGGAGGAGGATTCATCCTCGTAGGAGATGGGGATTTGGAGAAGATGGCGCTTGTTCCTTTTCTTGGCATTTACAGAGCAGCTGAGAATGGAGTTTGGATATATAATGAATAATGAGACGAAGAAAGAAGTGAAATTTGTATGTTTTTTGTTTCGGCTCGGCAAGTGATGTGGTGAGCGGAACGGGTTGTTTGGGGCTTTATATGGAGAAATGGTAAAGAGTCCACGCGGTGGAATTCAATTGGAAAAGTCAAAATGTAGGGTTTGTTGAGATTACGTGAGGCGCTGACAATGACCAATTAATTCCTTTGGTCAAATTATTGATTATTGTAAGAGAATCGTTGAAATCAGCCAATAGTCTCAACACTAGGGCTCTTCTTGCTTTTTATGGGACGACCTGCTCCTCCTTAAACCAAGGTGTTTAAATGAATAAAGCATCCATCTATTTCACAATAATTTATATAACATTAGATTATTAAATTAAATAAATATGTATGAATAATGTTTTTATATTATTTAATAAATATACGAACACGAATAAAATGTATATGATTCGTTGATATTCACGAACAAGTCAATTTATTGACTCGTTTACTTACTTCATTTAATAAATATACAAACTCCAATAAATGTGTGCATGATTCATTTATGTTCACGAATAATTAGTTTATTGACTCGCTTTTCGACTCGTTTACTTAGTTCTTTTTATCTTTTATTCCTTGTGTGCATGGTAATTTTATTGACTAGTTTACGTTGGGGTTTTGCAGCCATTTATGCAGCAGAGAGACAAATCCATGTTGAAATGATATGGAGTAATATAATAAATAGAACAGTTTCAACAATCAACATTGGTGAGCTCATAAGAGTCTAAGAAATTCATATTTGATATCTTAAGCATGGGCGGAACCAAGGGACTCTTGGTCCCGTCAATTATATTTTTAATTATTAATTAATATAAAAAATATATATTTTTAGAAAAATAAATAAAGAAAATTTTATCACGACCCTCAATTAAAAAAATTGTATTCATAGAAAATAAAAAATTATTTTAACCCCACTATAATAGATTTCTAATTCCACCCCTGAACTTAAAAACAATACTCTCTTTATATCTTTGAAATTACTTAACGTGTTCTATAATTTTATTGTTGAATTAACGTTGAACTTCATAATTTTATAAGGTATCTCATAGTTGGTGTATAAATAAAAATTATACTTGATATGTGTATTAAATAGGTAGAATATTCCTTTTGCCTCTTAATTTTATCGTTATCTTAATTCTTAAATTTTTGTTACATTTTTTTACTCTAAATTTCCTATTTTTTTTTCAACTTTGACTTAAATGTGATGGAATAAAATTATAAAACAACAATACTAAATTCACGTCAAATACTGTCATTTTCTCCACAGCAGTAAAATTTTGAGAAAATCAAATTAAATATTAATGTATTCTTATTAAAAATATTGATATTAATATTTTTTTCCAAATTTTAATGTATTTTTAATTATTAATAAATAAAAATATAAAATAATTGACATCAATATTTTTAATGAAGACAAAATAACTTATTTGACAGAGTTCGAGAGCAAAAAGATACAATACAAATTTAAGAGTTAAAATAACTAAATTGATAAAGTTGAAGGGTTAAAAAATCATTCTACCTTTTAAACATTAACCATAAAAACTAAAAAGACGTTCTCTGAAAACATTTCAGGGTGTAGTTAAATATGATTAAAAAAACATAATACGAATTTTATTGAAGTTTTTGGAGAAAAAGGAAATTAATTAATTAGATAAAATTGTTTGACATGACCAGTACTAGAGAGATTTATTAGCTTAAATGATATTCGTAATCAAACAGACGACGACAGTGAGTCAATCTTCATGACAAGGATAAACAACGTTAATTTCTTTCATTAAGTGATACGTGTCATAATAGTTTTGAAATTTATTTTTTTAAATATTAAAAAATTTTTATATTTATAAAAAAATACTAATTTCTCTTAGATTATAAAAAAGTCACAAAATCCCTAAATCCTAAACCTTCATCGCTGCCCTTTCCGACAGCAAACATTGTTCGTCATTGTAGTCCGTGACATCCTCCTAGTCATACGCCACTATAGTTATCGTCGATTGACTCAGAATCGCTTGGGATAGCGATTTTCATCCTAGGGTTTGTGAGGTATAAAACGTTGATTCACAGTCTATCAATTACAATTTCGTAGAGGTTCTGGTCACCAAGGGGAAGTGAGATCGAGTGGAGCTTCGTTGATGGCAAAGGGCGATGACCAATGTACATTTAGGGATCGAAATGAATGTTCTCAAAGTTTTGGGGTTATTTCAAGATTTTTATTTTTTAATATATAATTGTAGTTTTTAAATTTTAAATAAAACTTTTAAAATTATTAGATTAAGACATGTTTCATTTAACAGAAGAAATTAACATCGTTGATGGTTCGGACACCTAAAATGGTAACGTTTGTAACTTTAGGCACCAAGATGAGTTAAAAAAATACTTTAGACACATATTCGTGAAAAGTGATTTAATTTAGACACTTATTTTATATTTAAACCTATCTTTAAATAGACTCAGGAGTAACTGTGATAATAGTTTTTTTTTAAATTAATTATTATATATTTTAAATATTTTTCTAAAATTGTATAAATTTAATTTTTTTTAAAAATCCACCTCGTAATATAAAATTATATGTCAGTGTAGATTCTCTCATGCCATATGAATGTGTTTACAGTTAATTTCCATCGGAATTTTATGAGCAATTAAGCCGTAAATAATTGCTTGTTTAGGTTTAGGGAGTGCTGAATAGTCTTGCCCGTCTAGTTCTGTTGATAGAGTGCAAGGCTCTTAACCTTGTGGTCGTGGGATCGAGTCCTACTAAGGACAATTTATAACGGAGGTCTTCCACGGAAGCTGCTATCAACCTGATGTTGGGGACAACCTACTACACTACCTCCCTCTTACCCCATTACATATGAGAATAGAGTCAACTAATTGAATAGTCTTTGTGAATCGATCTATTACGCGGTGTTTGGCCTCCTCCTACACTATTTTCGGTGGCTTCTAATTGAAAGTGTTCATATTTAATTTATGTTTGTTTAAATTTTTAATATTGTATTCATATTCGATTATATGTTCGTCAACATGTTCATTTAACCACAAACATATTTGATTATATGTTCGCCACCATGTTCGTTTAACATTCACGAACATATTCATCAATATATTAAAAAAATTTGATTAAATTATGCCATTAATATTTAAGGTCCTTAGGCTTCATTGTTTGAATCCCATGGTTCACTTCGTGTTCAATTTAATCCTTACTTTCACCAATATTTAAATTGTAAAAAATAAAAGAAAAAAAGAGAACGTAATAACGAGTTGATAAACGAGATGAGTTTATTCGTGAATATAACAAGTTGAATATAGTGTGGCAGAGAAGTTTTTTCCTTCTATAAATGATGTAAACAATAAATAATTTAAAATATATAACAATAGATTACAATCTTTAATAATAGATAATTTCACCATTAGTTAAGCTTGATTTATTTAAGGGCTGCGTTTGGATACGAAAACGATCTAATTTATCAGTATTTAATAACGTCGTTAAAATTTAATTATGAAATGGGATAATGGATTCAGACTTTCAGAAACCTGAACCAGATAATGGGTTTTCGCCATGAATGCGTAAGGTGGATTAGGGGAACAAAACAATAGCATATTATAAATGAAAAAAAAGGCTCCACCAACTCTATTTTAAGTTCCAATAATTCATAGTCTGAGAAAAATGAAGAAAATGAGAATTAAACAACAAAAAGTTTAAACAATATATCATTGACTAGGCATTTAGGATCCTATAGAAGAAGGTATCTCTCATCATGAAAATTTCAAGCTCGCAACTCAATGGCATACTTCCGAGATAATGAAAATTTCAAGCTCACACCTTAATGGCATACTTCCACATTGGAAAGTACATGTCCCTCTTCTTCTCCCTCTCTGTTTTCAACGATTGCTGCATACCACAAAATGCAAGAGCTCAGTGTCAAAAGTAACAAAAACGAACCATCCTAGTTTACGGGCCAACAGGATTACATATAGAGCAGAAAATTCAATATACAGACGCTTATGAAACGCAAACAAGTCGACCAAAGCATTAAACATAAGCTGGAGGCTAGATAGGCAAAACAGCTTTCCATTTCAAATTTTCAACAAGTAGATAATATTGAACATAGCATCATCTATGTGGTCTTCTGCTTATACTATTTCAGTTTCAACTCAAAAACCCTTAGTGGGTTTAATGATTTCATCAGCTTGATCGAGATTGCAAAAGAGGTTAACTATCCAAAACTGATTTTGTCACATCAAGGAGCAGAAATCACTGATTTTCTTCGGATACTAGCAACCACCATGGGCAAACTTCAATATTAGTATGGAAGTTAAGAATATATCCTATAAGGCAGCTTCACATCCCTGACCTATTGCTCTACATGTCCCAACCATAAACAAAACTATGAAACAAACTTTAGAGAAAATTAACATGTAACTCCAACCAATCTCCATGGGAAAAGAAAGCATCTCTTAGGACAAATACCAGCCAAATAGAAAAAAATCGACATATAGTGCCAATGGGAAAATGAAACAACTTGAGAAGAAGTTAAGGCTAGAAAAGTTAGCAGCACTTGTGAGAAGGCCTCAAGAGAAGCAAGCTAAATTAACAGCCTTGGGAACATCTCAGAATATCAAAGCTTTTATCTTGATAGTCAACATAGTGCAAATCAAGATTATTTCACTATCATACATATTCATACATACAAGACTACTTAAAACAAAAGAATCTGGAAATGCCAATAAATTAAATAATAAAGAGTTATCAAATTAGAACAAAAGGTAATGGAATACGGCCATAGCTACCTGGTGCTTGGTAAGGCGGCGGCGAATAGCTCTGATCTTCTTGGGGCGGAGATCAAGAGGCAAAAACTTCTTCTTCTTATAGGCTTCCCTCAATGCAGCCTTCTGCTTCTGGGATATCACTGTCAACACTTGTGCAATCGATAGCCTCACCACCTTACTAAAAAACCAACACCAAAAACATTAAAATAAATGAAAAATGACCAAGTAAAAGAAGGAAAAGGGAATAGAGTTACATTTTGGAGAGCTTGTTGGGGGCACCACCAGTGACCTTGGCTACACGAAGTAGAGAAAGTTCAGCTTTTAAGTCCTTGAGCTGGCTCAAAAGCTCTTTCTTTGATTTGTTCCTTAGCTCGTGTACCTTAATCCTTGCTATAAACAACCACACACAAAAAAAAGGTTAAAAAGAAGCGATTAACATAACTTTCATCAAACAATTGATATAAGTAAGTCGGAAACTAAACAAAAATGGGGTTTCCATTAGTATCATCGTCATTACCCTTTTTCTGTCTTTGCGGTGAAGAAGGCCCGGTAAGTGCAGATTTGAGTATCTTTCGCGGTTTTAGACTTCAGTAGTAGTTTGTAAACAAAACCCTTATTGGGTAAAGCGGGTGTTTCATTGTTTTGGGCTCTGACATGTGTTTTGATCTTATGGAAGGCCAATCTAATGTTCAACAGAGTTGGACGAGCATGAATTGTTTTGTTCGTGGGTTCATTTTCTTTGCAATAACAAGCTCCGACATTTTATTTTATTGTGGATCGAGGTATGAGTTTACATGAATATACTAATTTTTCCAATGTATATTTGATAAACTTCAAGACAAAAAGAATTAGAGTGACATAGTTTGTTATGCCTTCATTGATTATATTCTGCCTCTAAATCTATAATGAAAAAAGAAGAGTTGATTTTGGGTATGCATTTAAAATTGAATGATTTTATAAGTTCCGTTAAGAACATTGTTTGATTTTACTTTTATATGGATCAATTGGATTAAATATGTGTTAAACTTTTTGTACAATTTTATTAAAAGTGTGATTTTGATCTATGTTGTTGCCTAGCCGATAAAGTAAGAATAAAAAAGAGACTGTAGTAGCTTGGCAATGTTGACATGAACTGCCAAAACTAGCATGTCTTTACTCATCTATTGTATCCGTGAACCATCATTATTGAGTATTGAAATCAAAAGAAGTTGATCCTTTGTTCTGTGAAATTCACATAATTGTAGCTTTGACAGATGTTTTAGCAGCGTTATGTAGGTTAGAGTAACCCATGAGAAAGCTTTTTGATAATCAAGATTCAAGAAGCTGTATTTTGTGGCCATGGGGTGGGAAAAAACATCTTTTTTCCGTATTATATTTATTCATATGTAGAGCAGCTGAACGGATATGTTTTAGTTAGTTGATGCTTGCAGTTTGCAAAGGCAACAAGTAGGAGATGGATGATGGAACTCGACTCATTGTGTTGTAAAATGGACCCTTTGACATACAAATCCAAGAATCTACAAAGCTTGGATGATTTTCAGATATCAATCTTTGTTTTGACCTCAAAAATGATGATTTTTGGTTCATCTCAAGAGCTATATAGCCTAGGAAATATACCTATGAATGCTTGAATGCCATGCTTTCTAAATCTATAGCCTCCCATGATGCTAGTAGTGGTACTAATCATATCATACAAAGTTGAATACATTAGAATAATGTCTAAAGTTAATCACCATCTTTGAAGGTCCATAATTTAATCACATAATTTTCCACAATATGATTAAAAAACACTTTCAAGTGGGACCTAACTGCTGCTTAAAAGAAGATTAAATTGGCCTCAAATCTATTAGTTTTGGTTAGCCTTGAAACTTGTATCTTCTCCAAAAATGAAAAGAATGGACTTCTTCTGTTCTTCTCAAGCTTCAACAGCCATCTGCTCTAGCCTGGATCATCGTTCCATGGTCCACTCTGGCCATCGGCCTATCGACCGTCAACGTTCTAAGCCTTATGCACCTTGTTCATCGGAATTTCCTATGTTTCCAAGGCTGCCTCACCGTGAAAAGAGTAGAAAGAGCTCTGTTAAACCAAGTGATGTAAGTCGAAAAAGTTCAGCTGATATCCATGATCTTAGGAGCCTTCCTGGTTCCTCTAGATATCTTCTAAGCAACACACCTTTTATCGATTGGTTATCGGACTCCGATCGTGTCTCACCATCAGTTCCAGGCTTCCAGCTCAGCCTACAAAGAAAAACCATGTAAGCTCCGACGATTCTCCCGCTTTAAAATCATCTTCATCCGCGGAGTCCCATCACCAGGTTAGTCTTCACTCTCTGTTCATTTCCTGTGTCTTGTTAAGGGACTTAAAATCTCTTGATTATTGCTAGCAGGTAGTGGTTTTGAGGGTGTCAATCCATTGCAAAGGATGTGAAGGGAAAGTAAGAAAAAAATCTCAAAAATGGAAGGTGAGTTTTCAACAGAGAGAAAATTTGTCACATTCATTAATTATTCAAAGCAAGAAACACTAACATGGTTAGTGATATGCAGGAGTGAGATCCTTCAGTATAGATTTCGCACAAAGAAAGTGACAGTAATCGGTGATGAAACACCCTCGAGTGTGCTAGCAAGCGTTTCCAGGGACAAGAATGCACAGCTCTGGCCATCTGCAACACCAGCATCGCCTCCATCTTCTCCAATGGCCCAACCCTCTTTGCTGATAAAAAATAAAAAACACTAAGTTTTTTTCCCCTTCTTTTTCTTTAAACTAATCAAATATAAGCTTTTCTGGGGAATGTTGTCAGAAGTTGGAACAATAGATTTTGTTTTTTCAAAAGAGACATTTGATAAAAATGATGTTTGGTGCTCTTGTGCTTTCTGATCATCTTGGACCGAGCAAAATGGAATCATCACAAAGTATACCTTTTGTCTGAATCTAAAAACCCTGAAGCTGTGTTATTAATTACAATGTTCAATAGTTTCCATAATGAAGGGTGATGGAATTTTTGCTGACAAAAAGCTTGCATCATTGTGATTCAATATCAGATTAGGAGCCTTTTTGTATATGGAGAGAGACTGGAAAAATAACATAATTTGGGTTGAGTTGCTCGCGTGAACTGGTACTGCAATGATAAGTGCGGCTATCATTTTTCTGAATGTTGGGAAAATATTGTGCAAATTAAAGCAGATGATACATCATACTTTTGGTTGCAAGTTCATCTCCAAAGAGTGGGGCTAACTTCTATGTAATGTTGTTTTCTCTTTCTTTTTCGCCTTCTCCTTTTTCTTTCTTCTTGTTTGGATAACCTATTTTTTTTACTTGTTTAATATATATTTTTTAAAATTATAAAATAAATTTATGTTTCTTAAACCAATCCATTACTTTTGAAAGAGAATGGAGACATTTTTCAGTTGAAAGTGGGGAAATTTTCATTTTACTTACCACATTGATGATTTGAATAATGTTTGGTCTTTAGATTTGGATTTTGTATATCCTCTAAGGTACTTTGGTTTATGGAATATAAGATTACTTTTGGAAATAAATTTATCGGACTTGATACATTATCGGGAATATTATATTAATACTCTCGTTCAAAATTTAATGTTGATTTTTGATTTTTTTTAAGTTTAGGTACTAAAACGAGAAAAAGCTGATGATTTAAGTACTAAACATTAGATATGATTTTTGAAAAAAAATTTAAAAGTTTAGAGACAAACTATTAGGTACTAAATGCGTAGTTTACCCTTATACTAAAGATGATTTGATTTTGAACCCTTATCAAGTACATGAAAATCATAACATTCGACTCAATTATAGGAATTGAAGGTATATTTTCTTTTAACAGGTCATAAGATCATATTCTAAATTTAAAAAAAAAAATAAAAACTTTTTACAAACTGATCAGAATTGTACAAATTTTGCATAGGAAGAAAGAGTTCCACTACGTAATTTGAAAGAAAACAAAACTCTTCAAAAGAAGACAAAAAATAAAAAGGCGAAATGGGCTTATGTCAAACTCATTAAAGAACACAATTCCAAAGTCCATTGTTCAACTCATTCATGTCCACGAAGCTAAAATGGTCGAAGAGGGCATGAATTAGGCAAAGCACAAGGGTTTTATCTGGCAAGTTCAATGGATGGTAGCAGTCCTACAACAGCATTTACCGCCCTTTCGATTTAATAATCATTACAACAAGACAAAAATCACAGAAACATTAAGCCACGCCCTTTCGATTCTAGTTGGTGGCAGGACACATTATTCTTCTAGCATTTTCAAACCATGGCTGATGCATGTCATCTACTCCATATGACAAAGGAGATCATCAATCACGTAATCTTCAAGTAATATCATGAAAATCTAAAACCATTCATTAATATCATATCATTCGCTGACATAAACCCAAAGAAAAAAATCGTTTATTCACACTAAACATCATATCCTCTATCCCTAACAAGCATTTATTTGGAGGGGAAAAACTAAAACAAGCACAGAGCTCAAGAGATTCGTTCTTCATTTTGGTGGAGGGAAGAAGATGGCATCATTACTTCTCTTAGACCTGAAAAGCCTCTCCGTCTCAGCCGGAACCTTGAAAGCAGCCTGCAGAACTTCAGGGGAGATGGCCTTCCATGCCCCAATGCTCCCAGCCAAGTGAGTGAATACAGGGCTGCAAAGTCAAATCATAATTCACAATTAGAACATCTTAAAAGTAAAGATTTGAATTCCATACTCGAGACCGAGTGACTTACTTGGGAGTTGTGATGATTGAGAACCATGACAGACCATCTGGATCAGCAATCTTTGAAACAACAAAGAACCTTGGCACAATCAACAGGTTACCTGCCTTCACAACAGTTTCCAGGACCCTTTTGCCATCGACCCCCACAACTTGGAGACGACCACTGCCCTTCACAATATACGTAACCTGCAAGGCTGAATCACAGGAAAAGCCAGGGGAACACATTGCATTACCTTCGAGCCTAACAAGATCGGCACCCATCCCAACCTGACCAACCAATGGTAGGTTTTTAGTGTTCAACAACACCACATTGCCAGCATTCTTAATATCAGTATCTAGTGGAGCTTCCTCGCAGTTTAAAGCCATTCCTTTCCGGTGATCTGGTTTTGGTTCAGGCATCTTAACATTGGCATCCAGCTTGACAATGCCTTTGCCTTGTTGGTTGCCAATAAGGGCCTTAGCGGTGTCATCATCAATGTCCCAAGCTCTCTTCACAAAGTCGGTTGTGAAACCGGTAAAGATGCTATTGGCACCAGTCAAGAAAAAATCAGTAAACAAACCGGCTTTGTGGCCCTTAGAGGTATCTCCCATAAAAAGAACAACCAACTCAGTGTCATCTTTATTATACCACCAGGTGATAACACCAAACGGAAGAGCAATTGCATCACCCTTCTTAATTGCA